TTTTTTTTTTTTTTTTTGATTTATTGTAGAGATGAGGTCTCGCTGCCCAGGCGGGTCTCGGACCCACGGACTCAGGCAATCCACTCACCTCAGCCTCCCAAAGGCGTGGGATTATAGGCTGAGCCACTGAGCCCAGCTTCCTTTAGGTTTCTTGAGCATGAGAACACATCTGGGGTCTACTTTGAACCCATCTAGTCAAGGCAGGTACCTCCTCCTACTGGATTAAGTATAAAAGAGTACAAATACACAAATACACACACACACACACACACACACACACACACACACACACACACACACACACACACACACGGGTAGTGGCTGGACCGGCCATACTTGCTTGCCAAGGGCCAGAGAGCACAAGCTAAACATTTTTTGAAAAACTTACATATGCTCATGTATTCTTCCTGACTACTTTCAAAGACAATATAAGGTAATGTTTCAAGGTCAATATTGGTAAAACCCTATGGAAAAAATGGGCAGTTCTGTAAAAACACAACAAAAACAGCTTAAAGTGGCAAACAAGCCAAGTGCTGTGGCCACACCTGTAGTCCCAGCTACTCAGGAGGTAGAGGTGGAAGGATCACTCAAGTCCATGAGCTTGAGGATGCCTGGGAAACATAGCAAGACCTCATCTCTAAAATGAATAAATGAATAAAATGGGAAACAAAGAGAAATTAGCCAGGCACTAAAAGCAAGTTAGTTGTTAGTTAATGAAGCTGGGAACTCAGTTCTCTGAGTGATTTGCCTCCTCTGTTCTTGCTGTTTATGATTGTTACTTTTAATAGTAATAACCCTAGTACTAGTATCTACCGCTGCCTGAGATTCCACCATTAGAGCTTAGTCTGTGTGGGTCAGGCCTTTGTCCCAGGGTGGGAGGGTCAGTCTGGTGTCCCCCGAGCAGGCACCACCCTAACTCCTCTTTCTCTCTGCTTCTGAGCAGTGTACCGAATCCACAGCGTCCTGCACGGCTTTGTGCCCCTCTTCCAGAAGTTCAGACTGATGGGTAACTTTTATCTATTTACTTTTTTTGGGAGATGGGTAACTTTAAAACTCTTCCTGTGTTCACTTTCTCCCTTTCAGGGTCTTCTGTTTCAAATAAGGCTTAACATGGAGGAAAGCACACAGGACTTGGAGGCAGGGGGTCTGGATTCGAGCCCTAACTCTACCAATTTACCAGTTCTGTGACCCTGGAAGGGTCCTGGAGTCTCTTTTTGCCTCAATTTTCTCAACTGGAAAATGGGTGTAATACTTCCTACTGCACATGGGTGCTGTGAAAGCAAGTGAGGAATGGATGCAAAGGCCATAAATGTGAAGCACCAGAAAAGTGAGGGGAGTCTGGTTATTCCTCCTTCTCTCCTAGAACTTCACATCTCCCCAGACACTGTCTTCCTGGTGCTGGTATTTGCTTACAGCCACTAGGGAGGTGGGCCTGAGTGGTACTACACTTGAGTGACGAGGAAACTGACGCTCATAGAGACAGAGTGACTTGCCCAGAGGCATACAGCAGCTCCTCTTTTTTTTTTTTTGAGTTGGAGTCTCGCTCTGTTACCCAGACTTGTGTGCAGTGGCACACTCATGGTCACTGCAGCCTCAATCTATTGGGCTCAGGCAATCCTTCCGCCTCAGCCTTCCAAGTAGCTGAAACCACAGGCATGCGTTACCACGCCCAGCTTTTTTTATTTATTGTAGAGGTTGGTCTTGAACCCCTGGGCTCAGGCAATCCTCTCATCTCAGCCCCCCAAAGTGCTGGGATTACAGGCTTGAGCCACTGCGCCTGGCCAGTTCCTCTTTCTTGACCAACAATTCTGTGGCCATCTTACACCTCAGAATGAAAAGGCCAAGTAGCCATGTGTCTGTGCCTGGGAGATATCTGTCTCCTTTACAAATAATAAAAGGGAAAAGGGCTACTTTGACTGTGGGTCATGGAGACCTGAGGTTGTGACAGTTGTGAGGGGTACTGAAGCTTCTGGGGTGATGGTGGGGCCGAGGCCTGGCTGGCTTTGGAACTGCATGCCATCCTGTGTACTTTGCCTTCCAGGGTTCAGGAAGACTGACTGAGGGCACGATCAGGTGGGCAGCTGAGCCAGGCCCCACCGTGATCACCACTGCAACCCCAAAGCACACAAGGACAAAGTGACATTCCAGGAGACACACAGGAGACCAAGCCAGAGCAATAAAGACAGCACTTTGCCTTCCATGTGGTCTGAACGTTGGCTCCAGCCCAGGCAGGGTATCATTCGGGCAGCACTGGCATGCAGTCCAACTAGCAGGATGGAAGGCAGAGGAAGGGGGAGGGTCTGAGCCCTTCCAGGTGCTGGAGGTCATTGCTCTTGGGAGACACAAACTGTAATCTGTCTGGGCCCTCCTTCAAATTTCCAGCTGTCCTGGTAGGCTCTCAAGTCCTACAGAGCCGTCCCAGGCAGATAGATAGTCCACTGCCCTGAGGCAGGGACCACCAGGCTGGGTCCTCTGAGTGAACTTGATGCAGGCTGTGCTGAGGACTAAAGCTGCAGCATCTGAGCACCTTCCCTCAGCCCTGTCACCTAGTGACAGCCCTGCTGCCCCGGACTCCATCAAGATTTAAATAAACATTCTCTTCCCTGTACCAAAAATAGTGAGCTAAACATTCTTTTATGTTTCTTGAGCACGAGAACACATTTGGGGTCTCCTTTGAACCCATCTAGCCAAGGTGGGCACCTTGTCCTACTAAATTAAGTATAAAAGAGGATAGAAGCAATTACACAAGTTTAGAATGTAATATGGGACTTTGCAGTAATTTTTGTGAGAAACATCTGGGGCTGTTAGTATTCTCAGTTCAACAAACACAGTAAGGAGTGAAATGAGGGCACAAAACAATATCCATTGCAAACTTGGGTTGCATTAGTGGAAGTATTGAATCTAGATTGAAAGAGGCAGTAGCCGGTTCTACTTTGCGCTGGCCAGGTCACACCAAGAGCCTGTACTCATTTCTAGACTTGCATATTAAGAGCAACAAATTAGCAATACTTTTTTTTGAGTCAGAGTCTCACTGTCTCCCAGGCTGGAGTGCAGTGGCATGCTCATGGCCACCACAGCCTCCATCTGCTGGGCTCAGGAGATCCTTCTGCTTCAACCTTCTAAGTAGCTGGAACCACAGGCATGTGCCACTATGTCTGGCTAATTTTTTTATTAATTATAGAAATGAGGTCTTGCCAAGTTTCCCAGGCTGGTCTCCAACACCTGGGCTCAGGCAATCCTTTTGCCCCTGCCTCCCAAAGTGCTGGGATTACAGGTATGAGCCACGGCGTCTGGCCTCCTCAAAGAACAAAAAGCAGAATTACCGTATGATTCACCAATTCTACCTCTGGACATATATCCAAAAGGGACACAAGGAGGTATTTATATACCTATGTTCATAACAGCGGTATTCCCAGCAGCCAAAACATGGAAGCAACACCACTGTCCATCAAAGAATGGATGGATGGACAAACAATATAGGGCCTATCCATAAAATGGAACATTATCAGACATAAAGGGAAGAGAATGCTACCACATGGATGAACATCGAGGACACTGTGCTAAATGAAAAAAGCCAGTCACAAAAGGACAAATACTGTCATGATTTCACTTCTGTGAGCTACTTACAGTACTCAAATTCATAGAGACAGGAAGCAGAATGGTGGGTGCCAAAGACTGAGGAAAGAGGGGAATAGGGAGTTAGTATTTAATGGGTACACAGTTTCAGTTAGGGAAGATGGAAAGAGTTCTAGAGATGGATGGTGATGAAGGTTGTGCAATAATGCAAATACCACTGAACTGGACATTTAAAAATGATCAAGATGGTGAATTTTATGTTATGTCTATCTTATCATGATCTTTTTTTTGAATCAGGGTCTCACTCTGTCACCTAGAGTGCAGTGTCATGACCATGACTCACCACAATCTTGAATTCCTGGGCTCCGGTGATCCTAGCAGTACAAGCACATGCCACCTGGCCTGGCTAATTTTTAAAAGGTATTTTGTAGAAATGAGGTCTCACTATGTTGCCCAGGTTGGTCTTGAACTCCTGGTTCAAGCAATCATCTCACCTCATCCTCCCAAAGTGCCAGAATTACAGGTATCAGCCACCATGCCTGGACTTACTATCCTGCCTGCAGGCCATTAGCTTACAGTCTCCTACCTGGGGGTTCATCATAGTGCTAAGCTGGAGACAGGAGCTAAAAGTGGTCCATGCAGAATGGAAGAAGAGCAAGAACATAAGCATTTCTGTAATTCTTTTCAATTTTTGGCAGTCTGACTGCATTGCAAGGACACAAGTTTGCTCCCAGGTGAGCTGCTGGTAACCTTGGCCTCTCTGGGCCCCAGCTGTCAAAAGAAGAGCTCAGGGAGGTCAGGTTGTAGGACCCCTCATTTCATGGAGAAAGTTACCTACCCCCTACTCTCCAGACCTTAGCTGAGGGTCTGCCAGTCCTAGTGCACTACCTCTGGAGGTCTGGACCCCAGTACTGCCCTTGGACACTCTCATGGCTCCTCTGCCAGCTAGAGCTCAAGGCCAGGGTCTGGTTATACCTTTGGCATCAAGTGGATTCCTGGGGCCCCAGTCCAACATGTGGAATAAAAATAACACAGGCTTCCGAGTCCAGGAAGGCAGAGCTGAAAAGTGAATGTGTGAAGAGGAGAGGCCTGAAGCGGGTGGGCGGTGGTCTGTGGCTGTCCTGGACTCTGTGTGCTGGGTTTCTGCTGTGATCACAGCAGAAGGATCATGAGAGTAGTGAGAGGATTTCAAGCCATATGAGCTAGCTTGAGCTGGAAGGAAGGGAGAGAAGCCCAGGAGGACTGTGGCAGTTGTTAGTCCTGCTCTCTGACACAGACCCAGGAATCCTCTGTCTACTCCAGGGGATCAGGGCCTGGACCAGAGACAGAGCAAGGGGCTGCAGCTGGCGGAACCTAGGAAGCTGTGGAAAGCGCTTGACATTGGAACTAGGCTGATGGGAGATGTAGGAAATGGCTGTCCAGGCAGAGGGCACAGCATGGGCGAAGGCATGGAGGAATAAGAGAGGACAGCACATTTAGGGAACAGCGAGGAGTTAGTCCTGTGTTGCTGAGGCATATGAGGTGTAAGTAGGGGTGAAGACAGGTGGGTAACAGAGCATACAAGTAAATTGCTTCCCTCCCCTTTCACTTCTCACATCTTCATTTTTCAGCCCCATCTTCCTGTGCTGGAGAGTCTGTTTATTTTTAGCCTACATACTGGACTAGGGTTCCAGGACCTAAGACCTAGGATAAGAAGCTGGAACTTTAGCCTAAGAAACCATGGAAAGAATATGAGCAGACAAACCATGGAAAGAGTTTTTTTTTTTTTTGAGTTGGAGTCTCACTCTAGCCCAGACTGGAATGCAGTGGCCGCTCCTGGCCATCGCAGCCTCGACCTGCTGGGCTCCGGCGATCCTTCTGCCTCAGCCTTCCGAGAAGCCAGAATTACAGGCATGCGCTCCCATGCCCGGCTGATTTTTTGATTTATTGTAGAGATGAGGTCTCGCTGCCCAGGTGGGTCTCGAACTCACGGGCTCAAGCAATCCACTCACCTCAGCCTCCCAAAGGCACGGGATTACAGGCTGAGCCACCGAGCCTGGTTATGGAAAGAATTTGAGCAGACAAATGGTGCAGGCAGAAAGCACTTCAGGAAGATCCCTGAGGCTGGTTCGGTGGCTCAGTCTGTAATCCAAGCACTTTGGGAGGCTGAGGCAATGAACTGCCTGAGCCCACGGGCTTGAGACCACCCCGGACAACTTGGTGAGAGCTCATCTCTACAATTAATCAAAAATTAGCCAGGCATGGTAGTGCACATCTGTAGTTCTGGCTACTTGGAAGGCTGAGAAAGGAACGCTGGAGCCCAGCAGGTCGATGCTGGGGTGGCCATGAGTGTGCCATGGCACTCCAGCCCAGGCGACCGACTGAGACTCCAACTCAAAAAATAAATTAAGAAAGAGATAAGACAAGAGAAGAGAAGAGAGAAGAGAGGATGGAAGGAAGGATGGATCCCTGAACTGCACTTAGCAGCCCTGCGGAGGTCCTAGGGGCAGGGGCCATGAGAACAAGCCTCAAAAACCTCAAGTTCTAGGCATCACAAGTGACCAAGGCTGCTGTTTTGTATTTACACCAAGAACATGCTTCCCTTCCCAGCTGATGGCCTATAATGAGAGGGATACTAAGACAGGCCCATTACTTGGAGTCACAGGATTCCTCTGACAGTTGATATTGGCTGACACCCTGCCAAGATTACCTTACACTGTGTTGCAAACTAGGACTCTTCCATCCAACCTTTCTTCCCTCTCTTCATCTGGGCCTGGACTCATGTCAGCACAGTCTGATGGCTCTCCCAGCCCTCTTGGTTCCCTCCCCATTTCTCTTGCATATGTGTTTTCTCTAATAAAAATCTG